TCATTATTACTCCAAGTCCATTTAAGATCAGATATAAGTCGAGATGTTGGTACTTGCAATTGAAAATTAATACGATCAGCATCATACTTTGGAATAATTGTTGTTTTTATATTATTTAACTTTGAATATTTTGATGGTTGAATCATAGCATACATTGGTAAATATCTCTGAATAATATTGATATTCTCAGATGAACTTAATATAACTTCTTCATCATGGGAACTATTCGATGAACTATATATAGTAGAATACATTTCATTGATTAAAGAATTGAAAAGATTCACTGATAAATTAGAACTTTGTATATCAATTAATTTCATATGATTCATTGTATATTCATTAATAAGAGATCTTGCAAAACCAATTATTGGTGATTGAGTTATATTAAAATTTTGTCGATTGTTTCTATTAACAGGCAGTTGAGAATTTTGTGTCAAAACAAATATATTCGGATAATTATCAAATTTTGTTTCATAGATTGATTGTATAATGTGCATAAGTATTCCACATCCTATATCTTCTTGAGCTTGAAAATTAAGACGATTTGTTGTATCATCATGGTTAAATGTTGGCAAATCAAGTGGCCAAGCGAATAGAATGTTTAACAATGAATGTTTTAAAAGAATATTTTGTTGAATAATATTTCTTATTGTTGTAGATATGGAAGACGTATCATGAATTATGATTTGTTTAAATGAATTCATTGAATTGAAATTCTTATTTTCTTCAGTTGATAAATAAATCAATGTTATATTTTCATTATTAACTTGATGTTGTGATAAGATATTGGCAATTTGCTTGCCAATATTTTGCTTCTGATCACAAAAAATGATCCATAATTGTTCTGTAATTGATGTCGTTGTCAATTGTGGTAACAATTCAAGAGGATTGTGTTTGAGTTCAGTTGGTTTCCAATATTCATATGCACAAAAATGATCGATCAATTCATCAGTGTCAACAATCTTCTTCGGATTATTATTACAAATTGAAGTACTTTCGTCAATCCTTTGAAATATGGATTTTGTAATGATTTGATCATAATAATTTTGTAATTTAAAACCTCGAAATATCATAATTGGATCTGCTTTTGATGTTGAAGAAGATAACGATTCATTCGTAGTACTAAAGATAAGAATATCTGTTGTGTGTGTTTTTTTTGATGCGATTTCTTTAGTTGATAAATTTAAAGACTGAAAAGCATAAAGTTTATTATTTGTTTCTTCTTGTAGAATAGAAAATATACTTTTCTTTCTATCACATACAATCAATTCATCAATTGACATAGGAATATTGGTTTCATAAAATTTACCCGGAATAATAGAAACCATTCCTTGAAAACAAGCATCTAATATTGCTGGATGATAAATATATTGTTGTTGATCTATATTTTGATCTTGTAAAAGTGTAGGTGGAATAATAATTTCTGATAATACTTCAGAATACGTTCTATGTAATGTTTTTATACACTGAAATCGTGGTCCATAATTTAGACCAGCAAAAGAACAATAATTATAAAAATGTTTAATTTCATTCTCATTTTTTGCTACTACTATAGTATTATTATTATTATTAGATGATGATAAACGATATAAAATAGAATTAATATCATACATCGAACTGATTAATGAAGCATCAATATCTAAGTTAATTGAACCACGACAATGTAATGTCCATTCTTTTGATGAATATGCATGTAAGAAATTTTCATCTGAAAACATTGTTGTAATATCATTACCACTAATACCAGCAAGTCGTACAGAATCATTAAAATATTTACGACGACTATATATATAAAATTCACGAAATGGCATTATAATAACAGTTTCAATTTGAATTGTATCATCTTCTTTGAGATTAAGTCCATTAAGAAATTGTATATTTTGTAAAGTAATTGATTGTTGTTGTTGTAATGATAAAAGAAATAAAAGTTGATTAATAGCTGCAACTACAAGTTCAATAAAACCACTTGCAGGAAACAAAATATTTTCTTGTATTTTATGATCAAATAAATAAGCCAAATTAGTCGAATGTTTGTTTAGTGTAAAGATATTTTTCCATGTTGGTGTTCTTGCTTCATTATGCCATAAACGATAACCAAGCAATGGATGATGAATTTTTCTTATTGCTCGTCGTGTAAAAACAGAATCTTTTGGTTCATACCAACATATTTGATGATTGAATGTGTACTGAGGTAATTTATCAATAGAAGAAAATATTTCTTTTAATATTTCATTGTGACATGAAGCTATTGTTGTATACGAACGAGAATTCCAAAACTTGTTCCAATCTATCAAATTTAAACCAAAAAATGAATATAAACGACATAAAGATGATAGAATTGTTTGTTGTTCATTTTCTTTTCGTTTAAGTGAATGAATAATCAATGGTGATTGAAATGATGATAATACTTGTGATCTATTAAAATGATTAAAACAATCTGGAATAGCAGCAGAAAGAACTGGATGTGGTGATATTTCGATAAAAATTGGAATTCCATTTGAACGAGTCATATCATAGAGAATAGATTGAATTGCATTATCGAATAATACAGGATTTCTGATATTTTTCCACCAATATTCTCCATTCAACACGCATGTATCAGAACGGGTTCCTGTTACAGTTGAATAGAGAATAGCATTTGAACATATCTCATCGAATTCAATATTGTGATCATTGCCATTAATATCAGTCAAAGAATTAAGAAGTTCTTCATAGATATTAAATCGTTCCATTTGTTTACTATGAAATGCATTTTGAATTCTTAACCATGATTTGAAAACATTTGGTTTCGTCATAGAAAGATCATTATAAATTTTCTCTAGAACAATACCATCACCACTTAATGTAACAGATTTTGGACTATTGATGGCAGCGATTTGAACTTTATCTTCATGTCCAATAAGTATTTTATTTGCTTCATCTTCACTAAGAAATAAGGCTAGCATACGTCCACCTTTATTTGTATTATAATTTTGCAAACGTGAACGATGATATATGACTTTAACTGCTTCTTTCAATGTAAGTCGACCAGAAACATATGCCGCTGCTACTTCACCAATTGAATGTCCAATTATTATTTTAGGGCGAATACCCCATGATATCCATAGAGCAGTTAGTGCAATTTGTACAGCTAATATGGTTGGTTGAGCAATATTGGTATGATTAATATTAGAATATTCTTCCTTTTCCGGTTCAATTAATTCTTTGATAAGTGAAAGTGAATTATTTGAAACAATCAAAAATTCTGAGTGTATTTTCTGTATCCATTGACGAAATATGGGTTCAACTGAATATAATTCACGTCCCATTGCCCACCATTGAGGACCCTGACCACTGTAAATAAAACAAATATTATATTTTGTTTGATTTTGTATTGGTGTTTCCTGTTGAGGAAGAATAACACCTGGACAGTTACTTTCATCTGATAAATATGATTTAATTTGATGTTGTAATTGTTTGCTATTTGAAAATATAAATGATAAACGATGTGAAAAACTAGTGGTTCGTTTCAATAAGACTTTTTCACACAAATGAGTAAGAAATAATTGTTCAAAACTCTGTAATAGTCGTTCAGGTACTGTTGAAAACCATATAGAAAATTTTTCCATGTGTTTTTTCAATGATTGATTACATCGTGCTAGGAAAATAAAAATATAGAAAAATGAATAATTCTAATTCATAAGTAGAAAAAAAATACTATTTCTATTATAATACTTACAAGAGAATGCCAAAACGAAATGCTGTCGTAATGTTTCATTCTGATTTTGAATAGAATTTTGAAATGATACAATATCAATGCATTTTGTTTTTTCATCATTGTCTAATTCATTCATTTGATTCTGTTTCGTGATTATGGACATTTGATTCCAATCATTTTGTAAATATTCATTCAAATGTGATTCGGACCATTCAGTGACAATAACATGAGCAGTATTACCACCAATACCAAAACTATTAATTCCAATAGAGATGAGTTCATCAGGAAAAGATACAATATGACTGACAACATGTAAATTATATTTCATGGAATGAATCTTTGGATTAATACGAGTAAAATTCATATTAGGTGTAATCATTCGATGTTTCATACATAAGCCGATTTTAATTAAAGATGCAACACCAGCAGTACCTTCAGTATGACCTATAATACTTTTAACAGAGCCAATTAGAAGTGGAGGATTATAGGATGAACGTTTAAAAAATGCTCCAAGTGTATTTGCTTCAATTGGATCTCCAACTTGTGTTCCAGTTCCATGACCTTCAATATAAAATATTTTATTCGGATCGATGTTGTTACGCATGTAAATTTCATTAAGAAGTCTGGTTTGTCCATGACTTGATGGTACAGTATAACCAGCTTTTCCTTCATTGCCATCGTGGGAAACCATGATATCACGAATAACACAATAAATATGATCTTTATCTCGTATGGCATCTTTCAGTCGTTTGAGAAGTACTAAACCAACTCCTTCGCCTATAATAAGAAACATAACGATATAAGAAACCATTACATGAAATGAATGTGAAAATAAGGAAAGGAATCATGGTGGTGACACTCATACACAATTCATTTCATGGGGATTGGTCAATAGCATCGCTCCTCATAGATTTTGATACTCAAACTCTATAATTCTATCAATTACTTTTAAAACAAGAGCTCTATTATCACTTTTAGAAACAATAATGATGAAAAAATGTATAAAAATTGAATTTTCTCTGTAAAAAAAAAGTGAATATTTGGTTCGAACGATTTAAATCAAGATGAAAACATATGAATGATTGAACTCATGGAAGAGAATCTAGAATGTTATCCTAAAGAATAAGAAACTATGGTGTTGTTCGAACAATCTGACACTGTCATATAATGACTATTAGAAATTATTTTACATTAATCTTTTACTCACTTTTTGCATAACCATTTGCATCATCACTGTAAGAACGTGATCTTCCATCTGGTGAAATAGCACCAATGATTAATGAAGTAAAAAAACTTTCAGGTGTGTAATTCAAATTACTAGCACCAGCTACAGCAAAATCAGCTTCGCCATTACGTAAACTTTGAACTGCAAGATGGACAGCTTGAAGAGAAGAAGAACAAGCCGTATCGAGAGTAAGATTGGGACCATGGAGATCAAAATGATAAGAAAGTCGAGCAGAAGCATTATATAGAGATAAATTTGGTCCCAATAAATTTGTTTCATTTTCGATTTTCGAACGATGAAACGTAATCATATGATCATTTGTGAATTGGCCAATATAAACAGCTGTTCGACTTCCTTGGATCTTATCAATAGTATAATTTGCATCTTCAATTAAATGTAAAAATTTTTCCAATAGAAGACGATGACATGGATCCATTGCCATTGCTTCACCATCTGTTATACCGAAAAATGATGGATCAAAGTGATGAAGTTGATCATCATTTAGAAAATAACCACGACGTATCAAAGGTTTTTTCACACTGTAAAGAGGAACATATGAATCCATATCAAAACGTTCTTTTGGAATTTCACTTCCAACATCAATACAATCTTTAAGAACATTCCAAAATGATTGAGGTGTATCAATTCCACCAGCAAATAAACATGTCATTCCAATCATGGCAATCGGTTCCAAATTCATTGTCATGTTTTGACAATCGGTGACTGTATGTTGAAGGAATATGGAAATACTTTTATTATAGATTAAATCGATGTTGTCTTGTCTGTAAGCTTTTTTCTTCTTCTTTGCAAAACCTTCTTTTTATTTTAAATAATGATAAAAAATAGTTGAAACCAAATTTATAGTCAAAATTAACTTGTTTGAAAATATTGATGACTATGGGAAAGCTAAAAAAATTGACTTTCTTACAAAGTGAAAGATATCTTTATTGGAATAATAATAAAGAAATGTGAGTATGAATAAGTGAAGCTTTTTTAATATGTTTAACTAAAAACTTTTCTATTAAAATCAGAAAAAAACCGATCACAGCTACTCACACTTTTCTCCAACTGTTTTCCGAAAATACGGCAGGTCGCAAAGTTTTCGCCCTATACACGAGGCTAAACCGAGTCTTCAACTCAAAACAAAGAGCATTTTCATAAAGATTATCGACCATTCTCTATTCAACGGTATTAATCTTAAGTCAATTCAGAAGACTTGATGTCAATGTCCGATATGAGTATCCTCAATTTATGACAAATTGGAAACTATCACTAAATATGTTCAACAAAATAATCATGTCATCATGCAGCCCTTACGATTCTCATTTTAATGAGCTATGATTCGCCATTTTTCTGACAGATCTCTAGAAGTTATTAAAACCACACGCCCCAAGTTCTCTCAATTTTTACATTTAATTGAAGATGCAGATTA